GATTGTAGCAAAGACCTTTCTTTAATTGAAACGTACGATTTATAAAGCTTTACATCATCTGCATACATTAAAATTTTGGAAAATTGTATATCTGTAGAAATATCGTTTATAAAAAGCAAGAACAAAACCGGGCCTAGGTGGCTACCTTGAGGGACTCCTGAAGTAACATCAATGACGTCAGAGATAGTATTTTTAAACATTACCCTTTGTGATCTATCATAGAGGTATGAAGAGATCCAACGTAGAAAATTAGGTGGAAGACCAAGAAGATCAAGTTTGTAGATGAGCAACGAGTGGCACACTTTGTCAAATGCTTTACTGAAGTCAGTATATATAACATCAACAGTTTTGCTTTCACTAAATGCTTTTGAGATATAGGATGTTAATTCGAGTAAATGTGTAGAAGTTGATTTGCCCTTGCAAGATCCATGTTGACTATATGAAATGCTAGAAGAGATAGAATGCGTCAACTGATTTGTTATAATTGCTTCAAATAATTTAGGAACTGCAGAAAGCTTAGCTATTCCTCGGTAGTTCTCCACTGAAGATCTGCTACTGCTTTTATGTAACGGGGTTATGAACGATTCCTTCCATATAGTTGGAAAAACGCCCTCTTTAAGAGATAAATTAAATAACGCTGTTAACGGCTCATAGAGATAATCAGAACAATTTATAAGAATACAAGTAGGGATCTGGTCAGGACCATAACTGAAGGACCGCTTTAAGGATTTCCGATAAACTACTACATCATCGGGAGATATTACTGGGATATTTATTGAGTTCATTGGACATAGTTTAAAAGGATAGTCAATGTTAGCATGTGAGTTAATGGAATAATTGGATTTAAAAAACTGAGCGAACATGTTAGAAATTGTTTGATTATCACTAGAGACGGTATTTTGATACTTCATGGCGGAATGAAACCCACGTACATTTCGCTTGGAGTTTACGAAGTCATAAAATCATTTGGGGTTATATATTATACGCCGTTTGATTTTACACAAGTAAGCTTTATAACACTTTTTGTTTAATCCAAAAAACTTATGACGCAAAAGTGAGTATTTTACATAGTATGAGTGTAAACCGGTTTTTTTGTGTAATCTAAAATAACGCGACTTTCTGTTTTTCAAATTTCTCAGTTCTTTAGTGAACCATAACTGTGTTTGCTCTTCGGGAACATAAATACGTTTAGGAACATGTTTTTCAAATAATTTATGTAAAGTAAAGTTAAAAAGTGCAACGCTTTGTTCAATATTTTCTTTAAACGCAGGACAATTTAGACAGTTATTTGTTAAGCATTTTAAAGTTGGCTTTCGAAAAATCAAAGCGAATATTTGGCTCGTATGCTTGGGTACTGCAATTCTGACCATCATTTATAACTTCGTAAGATACCTCCATAGCAGGGTGGTAGACATCTTCGGGAAAAACTAGTGGATCACACTTATTTACAACGGACTTAGATGCATCATCAACATAAACAAGATCTAATACTTTACCAAACTTATTGTGAAGTACATTAACCTGAGTTAGGCAGAGTTCAGCCATCTCCTCTAAAAATACGTTGTTGCACGCACTAGATGCGAAAGGTATGATATCATTGTCAATGATGTTCCATGATATGCTTGGTAAATTAAAATCACCCAACATAATCATTGAATCAGAAGGTTTAGTCAGTAAATTAACTGATTTCAGTAAAGAGATGAGTCGTGAATACACAAGTGTGTCAGATCGGGGAGGGATATAGCACAGAGCTAAGTAAATAGACCCTTTTCCAGCCTGTACACGAATGTATTTGAACTCTACTGAATCAATGTGCGGAAGACTAACTTATTCAGATGGTATTGAAGAGTCTACAGCGAAGAGTACGCCACCGCCAATTCTGTCCTCCCTATCTTGTCTATAGATATGATAATTATTTGGAAGAATCTCTGAATGGAAAATGTGAGGTTTCAGCCAAGTTTCAGTAAAAGAAAGAATATTATAATTACATTGAAGGCCTTTAAAGAATAAGTTCGTTAATTTAGTATTTAAGCCTCTTACATTTTGGTAATAAATACTTAAAGCAGATTTAATAAATAGTTTTTTGATTCAGTGTTATGACGGGATATATTAGCTAAGTAAGCCTATATTCGAATTCACGAACCAAAGCTCCGGGGGCCAAAAAGAACTACTAAGCAGCGCATTAAAATTATCTAAATGTACGCCAATTTTTAATGAAGCAATACTCCTTTCGTATTTAAAATTAAATTTTCTGATGCTTAAGTCCACAGTTGTAATTTTTGATGAGATATAAAGCTTTATATTGTCTTCGGTAGGGTCTCTCGAAAATCTAGAAACAAAGATTGACTTCTTTGGCGGAACCACAACTAGTTTCCTCGTATCAGACTGGACTACCGGTGGAGGGGGTTGAGTTTCTGCGTTAGTAGTTGAGGATAGGGAAGGCGGTGGAGGCTTTGAAGATGATACCACCACTTCAATGGGGAAAGGGAAGATTTCGTTACACGGTCTTTTGAGGCTGAGGATTCTGATGCTGGTTTTTCTGTAAAACCATTTCTGGTTTGCCTAAATAGCTTGAAAAGATCAACTTCGGTTGACCTGCACTTTATGCAAGACCAGCGAAGGCCCTTGCCATCATTAATAGCGTCCAGAATTCTACCCGTCAAACCAGCACATTTCAGATGATAAATACCATCACACAGCCAGCACGATAAGTAGCGTTCAGAATCGCTTTTAATTTGGCAAGTATCAAGATCATGTAATACACTCGTTAATAAAAGACAAACAAAACAAATTATAACAATTAAGGAGCTGATGTAAATAGCTTTAAATAAATGTAGTGAACAGTTTGAGTATCACTGTAATTATGACACTTAATAAACGCAACGCAAACAGCTGTGACAAGAATTACTAGAAGAAGTAAACAAAAAGAGTAGAACAAATGTGCAAAAACAAAATGAAAGTTAACTACAAAGGATACAACAACAATGATAGCACCAAAAGACTCGGCAAAATTAGAATGTATGCTAGTGAAATTTAATTAAATTTACTTTAATATAAAACCAATAACTTTCACTGTGCTCCAATTATTTCACACTCTGATGCTCATAAGCACTTTTTATCGCTACTTTAACACAGAATTAGCACAATGAACTTAGTAAGTAGAAAGCCAAAATCAGAGCACAATAAAGCACAACCTCACAGCTTGCCGTTTGCTTGGTATGTGGATTGTGGGAACTATCTCGTAATTCTCGGGACTATTTCAAGATTCTTAAGACTTCGACGGAGTTTTCGGGACGACTTCGGAATTGTCGGAAATAGTTCAGTATTTTTGGAGTTCTAGGGACTATTCAGGGATTTAAGGAACTATTTCAAGACTATTTCGATGTTTCTAGAATTTGTAGGGTTCTCAGGACTATTTCGAGACTGGAGGCTGCTTCAACATTTTAAGATTTCAGGGACAATTTTCGGTTTTTTCAAAACTAGATATGTATGTATGTACAGTGTCTAAAATAATAACAGTCGAACCTAGTGTTTTGAATTACGATGCGGTTAGCTTTATTTAGATTAATTAATGATTCATTCATAAAAATGTAAACCATTTACGACATATTTAAAGCATGAATTTGAATCCTCGTACCCTTAATTTGCAGGAATTGTTTTAAGAAAAAATTCGAAAGCGGCACGGTGGGGTTCGTTTGATATTTCCTCCCATATTTTTGTTAAATCCTTTTTGAAATTATCCATGGTCATGATATTTATGTTACCTAGTTTGCTTAGCACACAGCCCCAAACTCTAATCCGATAAGTTTAAGTATAAAGAAGATTTGGTCCATTTTTCCGTTGAGATAGACCCTGGGAAAAAGTTTCTTTTCACCAACTTTTCGAATTTCCCGCTTTACTTGTCGGGAAAGAATCTTGTTGAAAATAAAATGTTCCATTTCCAGACATTTGCACTGCATTAGTATCGGATGGAAGTTAGCGATAATGTAGATCTGCGGCTTTCGAGAGTTTTGAGATTTATTAACATAAGACGGGATGTGTACGATGGAATAGGAGCTTCAAAGATGAGCTACCGAAGAGAGAATTTCAGAAATACCTTTTGGATACGCTCTATTCTTGCTATCGGGAGTCGATCCAAGAGTCTATGGAGATCATTTTGAAAAAGATTACTCGGAATTAAGCCAAGACTTAAGAGATTATCTATTAAACAAGATTCAACCGCTGTAGTCACATTCGTTGGAATAAGACCAAGTTTAGAAAAATTATTAGACCAGTTGATGTTGGGTGTACTATAGTCACCTAAAGTCAACTAAAGTCAAAGATGATCATTCACTAACTGCTTATTAACGAAAGAATCAACATTATCCGTATGAGCTTTATAAATGTCAAAATGACTGTAGGGCGGGATGTACAATGCCAGTACTTACAAAGATGTAAGTCCAAGGGTTATACAAACACAGAGTCTGTCCAGCATTGGGCCCTCAGCGAAATGTGGTAGGCATCAAATGAAAGTCTAAAATATGGTGTTGTTCCTGATCACTGGAAAACATCTATTGTTGTGCCACTTGAGAAAGTCAAGAACACAATCAGAGCCGACGAGATGAGACCAATTAATACGTTGCCAAGTGATGAAAAAATTCTTGAAACGGTAGTTAAAAAGCAACTAATAGAATATTTAGGAACTAATAAAATATTAATGCCACAACACTCTGGGCTCGAATCGTGACAGTCGTGAACGAGCAACTCGTCACGTAAAAATGACAAAATCGGATTGTGACAGACGTGAACGATTTTCTCATATCGTAATTCGGTATTATGACAGACGTGAACGAGCGAGTGAACGTACTCGTTCGTTCGAACTGTCATTCGATTAATATTTGACGAACGTACGCGCGCAAACTTTGATAAAATTTTTTGAAAAATGTAGGTAATTATAAAATTTATGCAAACATATACAAGTTCATAGCTATTTTTCTTATTTTAGACCAACTACAATAAATTAAACTCTACGCAGAAGGAAGCCATGGCGGAGTTCATGGCCGAACACCCTGACTTGGCAAAGAATATACTCCCAAACTGCTCGCAGGGAAAAGCAACGGCCAACCGTTTGTGGGAAAACCTCACCAAACAATTACATGTGGTGGACCTTTTCAGGAGTCATGGGCTGCACCTCTATATTCACAATTTATGGCAAGAATCTTGCAAGTGTGGTCACAAATCTGGCAAACGGAATATTAGCAATAAAATGTTAAAATGAAAGAAGAGAAACTTACTAGCATAACGTTAAGACTATGGTAACCTTTCCTGTTGAAGTACATGTGCTCGTCTCTAATTGGCTTTTGTAATCCCATGTGTGTTCCGTCTACGCATCCAACCACTAAAAGGAAAAACATTGGATTCACTACGCATTTCATCAGAACTCCTCTTGCTACCCCAGGTATTTTATAATTTTCCGCAAACCGCTCCTTACATTTTGAAGAATCGTTGGGCTGGAACTTTATAAATTCCGGACACAATTTGCTTTCTATTTCTTTTAAGACGTTGGACGTCAATTTTGATACCGTGCTCTGGCACATACCTATCAGGTGATCGCTACCAACTGTTTGCTGATAGCTACCACTTGCAAGGAGCGAGAAGCTTGCAGCCAATTGCAAAGCAGCAGGAACGGCTTTTGTGTCATCGCAGTTTATGTTTGTTTTCGATAAAACATACTGGAATATCTCCTTGCTTAACCGAAATATTTTTGGTGAATCTGCAAGTATAGGAGTAGAGAAGGTAATTTATTTCCTATGTATAATTACTTACGCGTTGTCGGATAATGCGAATGGATTGCTTCTGCCCCGAAGTTGCTTACGCACAACTCTTTCGTCATTTTCGCTTTCGCTAGAGCTTAAATAAAATAAAAGGCTCGGATCCATTTTAGTTTTGCCGCTTTTCTTTATTTACTTTTCACTTATTTTGACACTTCAATGTCTATTGTGACTTAAAAAAGGAAGAAGAAGAGAAAAATAATCGATAACCAAATAAACAATAACGATTCGTTCGCCTTCGATTGTTATCATCCGATATTGTTCATTCGATTAAACGATCACGTAATTTGTCTTCGTACGATTGCCGACTCGTTCACGTCTGTCACGATTCGACCCCTGGTTTTAGGAAAAGGCACTCGTGTGAAACTGCACTCAACTTAGTATTAGCTCGCTGGAAAGAAGAATTGAGCAGAAATAAATACATAGTTGCTGTCTTCTTAGCCTTAAAGCGCACATTTGAGACCATAGATCAAGAGTTACTTTTAAATAAATTGAGTAATATAGGGATACGGGGCGTTGAGCTAAAATGGTTTCAAAGTCTTATTACGAATCGTTACCAGAGAACACAGATTGGATCATCGGTATCTGACAAAAGAGGTATAGTGGTTGGTCTACCTCAAGGCTCAGTGCTAGCACCTATATTATTATTATTATTATTAGTGCTAGCACCTATACTATTTAATCATGGTTGTTGTTGTCAATTCTATACACCCATTTGCTTATTTGCTTTTTTTAACACGCCACAATAACATTGACAAATACATAGTTTCGGAAGAGCCTGCCTGAAACTATACAAAAAAGCAAATAAGCAAATGGATGTATAGAATTGACAACAACAACCACGCTGTTGAGTTTAAATAGCGGCAAATCAGCTGCACTTGATAGTAGTTGGTTGAATAGGAAAATGAATTAGCAACAAGAGTTTACGGGATGTACATAACTCAGTGGTTAACGCTTCTGACTTTGAACATCGAATGCGCAAGTTCGATCCCTGCTGAAGTCTAGAAAAAAAAGAAGTCTGATGAGATGTGGTGATCTCCGAAATAGTGCTATAACTTCTACCGCTTAGACTTTGTTGCTTTTTCAATTTTTCCTAATAAACAATCGTGGTACAAAGCTCAATAAAAATATTAAAAATAAAATGTTAACAAGCCACAATAACATTGACAAATAAACAGCACTTTTATTATACGATGAAATTTGTTAAAAACATTATTGAAGATAATTTACCAGAATACGTAAGAAAAATGACTTCAATTTACCCATGTTAAAAAGCGAATCTGATAAATGTAATCTTTATTACAAGGGTCTTAAATATTATAATGAATTACCAAATACTGTCAAGCAATGTAAAAACATCAATGAGTTTAAAAGAAAGTTGTTTGAATTTTGTAAAACTATCCCAATATAATGTAATGTATTACTTTATATTTGTTTTCCGTTTACTATTGTTCCGTAATTTCAACTTGTAATTGCCATGTATGAATGCCATTCCAAATGATTTCATTAAGCTTAAGCAATGTAATACTAAATAACTAGGTTAGGTCTACATATATTGTAATGAATTAGGCTCAAGAGAGCTGTAATAAATAAATAATAATAATAATAATCAAAATTACGCCTGATCGCGATTAGTACACCAACCCCCAGCCCGTACTTATACTGAGGGAAAAAAATATTAAAATCAATTAGAAACGTAATTGATCTTACTATAAACGTCATCGAAAGTACTGTATATTGGTAAATATTCAATTCAATTACGCGCATATTAAAATGACCGCGTTCGTACTGAAAAAGCATCCGAGAAGTGAATAATCAAGAAAAAACTAAAAAAAAAATTGATTTGCATGTTGCCTGCAGCGGAATTCGACCCCGACCATCTCCGGATACCAACAACTTGTGGCAAGCATCTTTGCGCACTCAGCTACACCCAGACATATAAATTTGCTTTCAAATATTGAGTATCCATCAACACCACAGAACGCGATTTGTTCGGATAAACATGTATGTACTATGTATGCACGATTGACAGAAATTCTTGAGAATTCTACTCTCATTCTACCATTCTTGCTATGTGTGTATGTGTGTTTTGTCACCGCTCTCAGTGCGGCGCTCTGAATGCTTGGGGTGCGTATGTACACTTACATATACATACTCAGATGTGAACAGTCAAATACGTGCGTAATAAATTTTGTATGAAAATATTATTTTTAAATACAAACATTTTTAAACGACAATCAAATATAAAGTATTCATTTTTACTATGCATTATTTCCGTCAGGGTAGACATCTCGATCTTTACGAAAGACATTAATTAATTCGGATCAAAAAAGTTGTTGTTCAGCCACGAAGGTAATAACGTCAAAATCCGAATTCGCGCTCCCTAAAATAGTTGCATCAGACTTTGCTTGAATTTTTTGGGCACAAACACACGGCAGGTTTGCACAGATTGATTGAGAATCAATAAGAGTCACTATCTCAATAATTTAAAA